AAATTGCACATATGAAACGTAAACTTGTTTGTATTTGTTGGTTTTTTGGCCAACTATGTATTATTTTTTTATATGTTCATCATTGTTATTCTGAGGGGATTTTGTCCCAGAATAAACTTTCTATTCTATTCTATATAGATAAAAAAAAAGATTTATAAAGTGATTTTTGTTTGAACTATCATAACTATTTTATTTTCCAAATTGTTTATGGATAGATGAAATCGTTACAATTGTTTCACTTTATTTCTTCAAAATGAAAATTGTTTTTCAGCCTACAAATTTGTGACAGAACTTCTTCAGTATTCATTGAAGATTTGCAGGACACATAGATCACGAAAACGTATTGTCAGCTCTAAGGTCCAACGAGAGAATTGAATAGTGCGAACGCTGGAGGGTTAAGGCATGAGCCTGGCGAAATCATTCATAGGTTACTTGAACTAGGGCATTTACTAATTACTCGTAAAAGAATTTTTTTTCTATTAACTTTTCCGCGTTTTGCTTTTCACAGTATTCGTTATTTCTTTAAAATGCCTATTCGCCAAGTTTTAATTGACTAGCTAAATTGCGAATAATAAGCTTTTCCGATACATTCATTAATAGCATAACGTTTCTTTGAAATTTAACCGGAACTGTGTTGACATGTTACAAACAAATCTGTAGAAATGGCAACAAAAGCCTATGACTCTAAACTCTATTTTAAAACAGAATTCCCAGCAGGCATTATTGAATTAAGCGACATTCGATTGGATTAATGTTCTCAGAACATGAGCTAACAAGCTTCTGCCTTCTGTTATGGAGAAACTTTCTAATCAAAATCTTCGTCTCAAGTCTGTCCGTATCCGTTATACAGAAAGTCCGGTCTGAAGTCATTTAAATAATAAAATTATTGAAAATAAGCTGGGATTATAATATCGGTAATATCTTGATAGTATATAGTGGTAACATAGCTAGCTATCCATCAAACATTTTTGAGATGACGGTGGCAAAATATAGCCCCAAAAATGGACTCCACAAAAAAGTCTCGGAAGTTTATATTATGTATAAAAATTATGAATTATAATTAACACAGTCAACATAATTATTGTAAAAGGAACAATATTATACTATTTATAATAAATAAATAAATTAATGTATTTCTTGATATATATTAGTTGTTTTTTTTTTGTGTTCTGATATGTTTGAATATATTAACTATATAATTTAATATCTTACATATTGTTATCATTATTTAAAAGTTTAAAGCAATGACATGGATTCTCAATGCTCAGATGCTTCAAATTTGCCGCGAAAGACGTGATAAAATCTTTACGTAAAAATGGAAGGGTGGACATGAATGAATCATAAAATTCTTGGATATGTAGCTACATACTGCTATGTACCTGGACTTCGCGTTTCTACGGCGAGTAGGAGGTTATTTATTTCTACTTAATGTATTTAATACTTATATTTGTATTTATATCGGTTCCAGAAGGGAACCGATCAACTGAAAAATATATGAATGGTGTATTTAAAGGTTAGATATCACAGACCACCTACTGTAGTATCATAAATTAATTAATATACTTCTTATTGAATTTCTTTTCGAAAGGTATCACGTTTAAAACTTTACTATTTGTTTCTATAACTAATTGGTGACATGCAAGGTAGATTGTAAAATTAATAAGATGGTATAATAATTAATACATTTATAAACTTAAATAACCTAAAACATATATACACAAAATAATAACCAAAACATATATACACAATGAATATTACAGAATCATATTCGAGTGCTATTTTGGATATGCCTAATTGAAGTCACTACTGATCAATTGGTTCTATTAATGATTAATGATTGCCAACACAAGTTTACATCTGTATAACTAAATGGATGTTACCACTTAGCTGTTTCTTCATGGTGAGGGTTGTCGTCGGTATCTCTAGCTGTCTCTCTTCTTCTGGGTGGAGGGCCTCCCTGGACTCTCCTAGATTGACCCCCAGCTGCCTCGGTTGACTCTCCAGTCCATGTTCTTCTCTCAGCTTGTCTACCTCAAGTCACTTGCGGTCTCTAGAATACATAGCAATACATACTAATAAAGCTACAGATGGAGGGCTAGAAATATGATTAAAGAAGCTCATGAACTGTTTCATGAGACATATATTTGGGGTACCCAAGCACTCCCATGTTTCATTCAGGTACGCTGAGTTGAAATGGTTTTATCCTACTTCCCTACGATAATTCTTTCTTGCCGTTTTCCTTTTCCAAGTCCTTAGAACCAACACTCCCCCCCCCCCCACTACATCCTGAAACTCCTTACTTTACGTTCCTCTATCCACTCTCTCAATACCAGGTCTCAACCTATTGGTTTATATATCCCCTCCCATAAAACTACTTCCTTCTGTAAATCCTTCGTCATTCGGGCTGCCTCCTTTTGGAACTCTCTACCTGACTCCATACGTCAATCCTCGTCCACAAATTACTTCAAACAACTCCTGTCCCACCACCTACTCCATATTCAAACTTACACAAATGTATAAAATTTACTTGCGTCTATACAAAGCCTAATTCAATCAACTGCACAATTTCAAAAACAATCAACAGTTAATTAGGCATCATGTTGTATTCATCTAAGCCAGACTAATGTTCTTAATTATGTAACTCAGTTCTTATTCTTAGATGACTGTTGTCCCAGAATATAATTATTTTTTTCATTTCATTTCGTATGAAATTATGTTTGAATATAAACTTATATTTTAATAATGGATACAGGGAGTGTGGTAAAATAATTGTGTACCTACTTATAGGTCTTAGCTTAGCCATCTAATTGACTTTTCCCGAATTTCGAATTGAATTTAGTTTATATATTTTATTCTTTCATTTCGAATAATTATTATTCATATTGATTTTTTTTTCTTCGATATATTAGGGGAAGGAGGTAAGGCAAAATATTCTTACTCCCTCTCTATTTTTATTGGGGTATTGCTCCCTCGCCCCCTCCCCTGTGATTTTCTTTAAATACCTACAACATCATTATCTGCAGGAAGATTATTTTCTAAAGCATCATTAATAATTATAAAACAAAGAAATTGGTTAAGTGATAAATAGAGACCCGATTTTCGTGCAGTGAAAAACCGAAAAACATGCAGTATACTCTTACAACTCAAAATGTGCAAAAACTAAGAAATGTGCTGCAAGAAACGGCACTGAGCTAATGATACTGAATAAACATTTTGATTCCATAGAAAGTAAACATTGGAATCTAGAATCATTTCATTGAATTAAGGATTAAGGGTTATTGTCCTCTATATTAACATTCCTAATTGAAAACAAACAAAAAGATTACCTATTTATTCATTAAAAACAATAGACCAATCCAAAGCAGAAATATTTTTAGATGAAAACATGGAAAAATCAAGCGGGTGGAATTTTTTTCCTGTCAGTGTATATGATGTTGATCTATTTGTACCCATTTTAAAATAAGTTTGTATATTCATATATATATATATATATATATATATATATATATATATATATATATATATATATATATATATATACCTTTGGCGTCTGGAATTCACCTGTTTTAAAAGTGCGCTCCTCTCCCCAGAAAATTCCTGGATCCGCCACTGCTCTGTATCGCCACTGTAAATTTTAGGACTAGAAACATATATTTCGTCACTTATAAATATGAATTAATAATAACATAGCTCAATACATTAAATATATAGGCTTAATATAATATAGCCTTGACGTTTCCTCTAACACGAATACTAAAGCGACATGTGTTAGGTACCATGTTTGGATGATGTGGCTAGCTGTCTCGTTGCTATAGCATTTTCTCCTCGTCCTAGGTAGTCCTAAATGTTGTTGATATAATTTTGTATGAAGTCTCACTTTGAGCTAAGGGAGTCCGTTAGCCAATGCGTTGAGGGTTGACAGAGAAAGGTTTCCTTAAGTCTTTTCCCATCTACATTATCATACAATTTCTTGAGGCTGCTCTCTTGATTGCTGACATTTTCAGATTTTAATCCTTTATTTGATGGGTGGTTTGATATTTTCCTGACCACTTGAGCATTATAGGAGGAGCCAAATAGGGGCAACCAAAGGTTGCCCTCACAGCCTGGCATCCGAGAAATTCAATTCGTTGTAGCTATTCCAGCTTGATTGAGGGAACAGTGAGCTAGTTTTTTATTATTCCCAGGCCACTACTGGCACAGGATGCCTGAAAATAAGAAGTAGAAGTACTCTGGAGTAGCTTTAACCATGCTCGGATGGCGCCAGAATGTCGATTTTCTCCTGTTCCGAGACCTAATACTTACTCAAAGTGAGCATTAGGAATGTGGAGCGTTAAAAGTGAACAATCTTTGTTAGAATGAAATGAAAACTCGTTTACTATGCTGACAGAATCCCAGTGATTGACTTCGATATACCTTTCTAGGTACATGTTTATTTATTACGAGATAGGACTATGTAGACTGAGTGTTCTAAAAAAAATCAATGCGAGTGTCGTCACCCATCGCGTGAGTAAATTTGATGTTAAATTATGATACCTAGCTATATAACTTCTGTTTGATTTTTTTGAACATTCGTTGAATCGCCCATAGCCATCGAGCGTTAGCACGAAATCTGTCTAGTTAAGGCATCGATAAAAACAACGTTTTTTAATGAAATTGCACTAATATCGAAAATTTAGAAATAGCAGTCATATCTCACCTTGATGATTCTCTTAGAAATGATAATGGATATAAAAGACATTACGACAATACAATATATTTATTAAAAATGTAACTGTTTTATTTTTTCTTCCTAATTCGTCGATTATTTTTATTCTTGAAGCATGAACCTAGTAATATCTGATTGTTTAAAATACGTTGATAATGTTCCTTTTTTCTTTTTCTCACGTTAGCCAACAACCGTTTGATATATTGAACGAGGGTATCTCCGTTCCATTTTTTTGAACCTAGGAAAAAATTTCATGATTAATTATATTTTCAATTAAAACCTATATAAGCTTATATCAATGCAAGTACTTACCGATTAAATTGTTTTTACGTAATATAAGTTCGTACCATGGATATCTAAATAAGTCGTCACTAGAGAGGTGTTCTAAAGGGGGAAAGAGCACTGGACTTGTACCTGATGGAGTATGATCAGTGTTCAGTGAGTCTGATAGTTCTTTAAAAAAGCTGCGCAAAAGCTGGAAGTATATTTTATCGTTAAAAATAACAGTTTTAAATATGTTTAACTTTAAATAGTCTATAAATTAAAACTGACCTCCTAGGAAAAAGTTCCTTCCTAGTAAGCCAGTTTTAAGGTATTGATGGGATTTGTCAACTATCCGTTATGACACTTCTCTGCAAATGTTTTACAAAACACCCTCTCATCAATTGTATTAAATTCGTGGAATCTGTGTAAAATACATTTTTATTTTTTTATTGAGTATTAATACAGTCTGCCACACTCCACATTGAAGGGCATTAGTACTACGGCTATAGTATTCATTCACATAATATTTACATACAAAAGAAAAAATATATAAATAACTAAAGTAAAAAAAAAAAAAATTACATATAGATAGATTACAGGACGAGTAAACTGGGACAAATTTCGTAAAGACCTGGAAAATAAATTGGACCTAAATATTCCACTTAAGACGAAACGTGATATTGACACAGCCATAAAAGAACTTACTACATCTATAAGTGACAAAATAAACGATAATACATCTACCAATTAAACTAACAACTCCCAACAGACAAATTTGCCGCAGCATATTCGTACCTTATTAAGAGAAAAACGCAGAGCAAGATCGAAGTGGCACAGGACTAGATACCCATCAGATAAGACATATTACAACAAATTAACTAACAACTAAAAGCTGAAATTAGAAAATACAAAATTCAAAATTTACTTAACATGACAGAAAAACTTACTACTTGTGACAAATCACTATGGTTGACCACTAAAAAGCTCCTTAAATTCAAAGATTTTAACCACCCACTTATTACTGAAACCCAAACCTGGTCCAGATCTGATGAAGAAAGATCTCAAATATTTGCTCAGCACCTCTCAAAAACATTTAATCCACACCCAGACATCCTTAATCCAACCCACCTTGAGTTTATTGTAGCAGAATTGGATATCCCACTCCAATTGACCCCTCCACCTAAAGCATTTCATCCTTCAGAAATATCCAATATCATTAATAGATTAACTTCCCGCAAAGCTCCTGGCCATGACCTAATCACATCCTAGATCCTAAAATGTCTTCCTAAAAAAGCCATGTTGTTCCTAACCTATATAAATTTCTTGATTAATTATATTTTTATTTTATTTTTTTATTACTGATACCCATCAGATAAGACATATTACAACAAATTAACTAACAACTAAAAGCTGAAATTAGAAAATACAAAATTCAAAATTTACTTAACATGACAGAAAAACTTACTACTTGTGACAAATCACTATGGTTGACCACTAAAAAGCTCCTTAAATTCAAAGATTTTAACCACCCACTTATTACTGAAACCCAAACCTGGTCCAGATCTGATGAAGAAAGATCTCAAATATTTGCTCAGCACCTCTCAAAAACATTTAATCCACACCCAGACATCTTTAATCCAACCCACCTTGAGTTTATTGAAGCAGAATTGGATATCCCACTCCAATTGACCCCTCCACCTAAAGCATTTCATCCTTCAGAAATATTCAGTATCATTAATAGATTAACTTCCCGCAAAGCTCCTGGCCATGACCTAATCACATCCCAGATCCTAAAATTTCTTCCTAAAAAGCCATGTTGTTCCTAACCTATATATTTAATGCTGTACTCCGCACCACATATTTTCCTGACTCTTGGAAACTATCCTCTAAACTATCCATTGTCAAAATGATACCTAAACCCTCAAAGCCGCCAGAACACCCATCCTCTTACCGTCCTATCTTCCTTTTACCCATTATGGGCAAAATCCTGGAAAAACTCATTTTAAAACGCCTGTATCCCATCCTAGACTCTAAACACATTATCCCAGATCACCAATTTGGATTCCGCACATCTCACTCCACTATTCAGCAATACCATCGTGTGGTAGATGTAGTCTCCTCTGCATTGGAGCGCGGAATGTACTGCACGGGGGTCTTTCTCGACGTTGAACAGGCGTTTGATAGAGTCTGGCATCCGGGACTGATGTACAAACTCCGTGAATTCGCACATACTTCCTTATTATCCGTTCCTACCTTACTGATAGATACTTTAAAGTCAATCATAACAATGCTTATTCATCTCTTTTTACTCAGTCTGCCGGTGTTCCTTAAGGTATTATCCTAGGTCCTATCCTTTACACAGTTTATACAGCTGACATCCCAACCCAATCCAACACTGTCATCACCACCTATGCCGATAACACGTGTATCCTATCAGTTAATAACGATCCATCTATTGCATCCCAAACTCTTCAATCACACATCACAAGCCTTGAAAAATGGTGTCAAAACTTGAGAATTAAAATAAATTCCAATAAATCCCATCAAATAACCTTCACTCTTCGTCGTAAACCTATGACTTCCTGTCCTACAGTATCCTTCAACAATAGCCCTCTTATCCCAGTCGAACAAATCCGATACTTAGGACTTCACCTTGACAAACGACTCACTTGGAACCCCCAAACCAGACTGAAACGACTAGAAACCGCCCGACGTTTTCGACTACTGCAGCACTTACTAGACAAACGATCTAAGCTTTCAATCAATTATAAACGACTCGTATATATGACAATAATAAGACCTATTTGGACTTACGGAATTGAGCTTTGGGGATCCACTAAACCATCGAATTCCTCTCGTATCCAATCCTTACAATCCAAAATCCTTCGTAAAATCCTCAACGCTCCTTACATTGTCACAAATAAAGTCATCCATAAAGACCTTAATGTTCCATATGTTTCCGATTTGGCCCAATCCAGATACCTGTCCTTCCATAACAAACTGCAGAACCATCCGAATCCTCACGTTTCAAACCTTGCTTCCTCTTCGATCCCTGATAACCCTCCGAGGCGTCTGAAAAGAAGATGGCCTCGGGATCTTCTAATATAGAACTTTAATTTGAGTTCTACCAATGGGTAGTTTCTCTTCATGTTGTACATGTCATGATACCAATTTCACATTTACTTATTGTATTTTCTATGTAATACAGTTGTAAATTCCATTAAAATAATAAATAAAAAAAACATATAGATAAATACAAAGATATATTTTTTTTTTTCTTTTTTTCTCTTTTATTGAAATTTACAACTGTATTACGTGGAAAATACAATAAGTAAATGTGACATTGGTAACATGACATGTACAACATGAAGAGAAACTACCCATTGGTAGAACTCAAATTAAAGTTCTATATTAGAAGGCCCCGAGGCATCTTCTTTTCAGACGCCTCGGAGGGTTATCAGGGATCGAGGAGGAAGCAAGGTTTGAAACGAGAGGATTCGGATGGTTCTGCAGTTTGTTATTAAATAAAAAGATAAATTCCGCCAGCTAGATATAGCTGCAGGTCCCAAGCCCTGGTAAAGGAGGAGGGTCCCATTACAGAATGAATGGGTGTGTTCTTAGGAATTAAACACTGTCTCAGGTTAGTAGCGGTGGTATAACATCTTCCCCGTGAAGTAATGGGAGAACTAGCCTGAAAGCTCTAAAGGAGGCAATCCCTCCATCAGGCTCTGGGCACAGTAGACCCATAAATTACTTACCCGAGACCGATCTTATGAAACAAACTAAAGAGTATAGAGTAGATCAGTTTTCAAGGATTAAGACATGGCGCGGAAAAAGGATTATTCGATTCGGAACATTGAATGTTTAAGGCATTAATGGAAAAGAAGTAGAGCTGGTGGAGGAAGTAAAGAAAGTAGGAATCACAATATTGGGAAATAAAGAAACCAAGAAGAAAGGAATAGAGGGGGAACAAGTCGGAGATTTTGTGATGGTATACTCAGGAGTGAATCCCATTGAACATGCTAAGAGCGGGGTAGCTTGCATATTCCACAAAGACATATTCAGGTTCATAACAGAATGGAAAGCTATAAATGCCAGATTATTAACTATCAAATTTTTATGGGATAACAAACTCTAAATACTGCTTGTTGCCTACGGACCAAATAACAATGCACCCGCTGCAGAAAAAGATATGTTCTTTGAGACATTGCAAAGAGAAATAGACGATAACGATGGAACCTCTATTATTATGGGAGGCTTAAATGGCAGGGTTGGCAATGACGACAAAATATGGCAGGGGTCCTTAGGAAAGAACGGTGAAGAACATCTCAACGACTCAGGAGAACGAATCTTGAACCTATGTCTCGCAAACGGAATGATCGTCGCAAATGGCATATTTCCACATAAAAGAATACACCAATATACAAGAGTGAAACCAGGGCGAAATGAAAAATCAATAATAGATTACTTTCTCATACCAAAGGAAGAAATCAAAAATGCAATAGACTATCTGGAATCTAAAATCGAATTCCCATAATGATTACGAAAAATACGTAACTCAAAGACAAAGAGTGAAAAACAAGGTCATAGATGCCAAAAGAAAAACGTGGGTCAAGAGAGGGGCAGAAATTGGCAGCGATCACAGGCTTCTGAGGATCGACATCAGCCTGAATAAAGTTTTGCTTAGGAAAGAAAATAAAAGGTATCAAAAAGAACAAAAGATAAATGCCTACAAATTAAAAAACGAAGAAATAGCAACTGCTTATCAGAACATGATAGAAGAAAAGGTTCTTAGTGGAATTTACCCCTGGGACTCGGACAACGTCGAAACAGGTTGGTTAGCTCACAAGAAACTTCTGATGGACTCAGCAGAAATAACTTGTGGAAAAATAAATAGTGGACAAAGACTAAAGACAACCGCATGGTGGAATGAAGAGGTCAAAGAGGAAGTCAACAGGAAGAAGATGTATTGGTAGCAGTATCTAAAATCGAATTCCCATAATGATTACGAAAAATACGTAACTCAAAGACAAAGAGTGAAAAACAAGGTCATAGATGCCAAAAGAAAAACGTGGGAAGATTTTGGAAGAAAGATGGAAGATAATTTCCGAGAAAATCAGAAGCTTTTCTACAGAATGCTCCGAAACAGGCGCAAAGAGAAAGAACCTGTTATCAAGCGAATTAAGGATAAAGAAGGAAATATCCTAACAAGCAACGAAGGGATCATGCAGAGATGGGCTGAATACTTCAAGGAACTTTTGGAGGAAAATACTGAAGATGAAAATCAAGAAGCTGGACGGTCGAACGTGATCTCGATGGAAGAAGATTTTATCAGCGAAGAAGAAATTGTGGATGCTATAGGCAAATTGAAAACAGGAAGATCAGCAGGAATAGATAAGATTGCCCCTGAAATGATCAAGTATATGAACCAAAAGGGGATAGAAGTATTTACGCACATTCTAAACCTTGAGTGGGAAACAAAGAATATTCCAAAGGATTGGGAAGTATCTGTTATAGTCCCAATATTTAAGAAAGGGGATAACAGAGAATGTAAAAACCACCGGCGGATATCTCTTCTTAGTGTCCCAAGTAAAATATACTCAAAGATTTTAGAGAAACGCCTACGAAGAACAGTGGAATCCTCCCTGAGTGAAGAACAATATGGATTTAGGCCAAATAGAAGTACCCAGGATCTCATATTTACTTTAAGGCAAATGTCTGAAAGATTAATAGAAAGGGACAAAGAGATATATGCCTGTTTTGTAGACCTCACTAAGGCATTTGACCGAGTGAAGAAGCAAGACATATCAAAAGCTTTAGAAGACAAAGGCATCGAAACGGGCCTCCGTAAGGCAATTCTAAGTCTCTACAAGACCCAAAGAAATGATATGAGAACATGCCATAATATATCGGAAGAGTTCACAACTAATCAAGTGCTATGTTCATGGCCTCGCGTTTCTACGGCGAGTAGGGGGTTCCAGGAACCGCATTTATTTGTATTCAATAATTATATTTGTATTTATATCGGTTCCAGAAGGGAACCGGTCTACAGAAAAGTATATTAATTATGTATTTAAATGTTAGATACCACAGACCCCCTACTGTAATATCCTAGATTGAACCATATAATTTTTATTGGATTTCCTTTCTAAAGGTATCATGTTTTTAAATTTACTATTTGTAATTATATCTAATTAGTGGCATGCAGGGTAGATGGTAAAAGTACTAAGATGGTTTACTAACTAATATATTTAAAAATTCAAATAACCAATATATAGGAAGAGTTTACAACTAATCAAGGTATTAGGCAAGGGTGCAGTCTAAGTCCTCTGGTATTTACACTAGTGCTAGATAATGCAATAAAAATATTAAAACAAAATATGAGGTCATTTCAAGTGGGATACAGAAATCTACAGCCTGTATTTTTCTCTCTGTTCGCTTATGCAGACGATCTAGTGGTTTTCGGAAGCAATTGACGAAACCTGCAATTCAACTTCCGCATTATTCAGGAAGAATTAAATAAGATAAACATGCAAATAAATGTGGAAAAAAACAAAACTATGAGGATTGGTAGGAAACAAGGAAGAGGAGACAGAATAGTTCACTTGAGTGGAGTTCCATTGGAACAAGCGAAAACTTTTAAATACCTTGGTACCCACATCAATGAACATGGATGGATCGACGAAGAAATAAAGGAAAGAGTGAAATCTGCAGGAAGGTGCTTCAACGCCATCAAGAAGTGAGTAAAGAGACCAAAACGACCATGTACAAAAATACTTTCCTCCCGATAATGACCTACTCCAGCGAGTCATGGACCCTCACCACAAGCACATCAGCCAGGCTGAGGCCATGAAGATGCGATTCCTGCGCAGGATCGAAGGAAAAACAAAGATCGCATAAGAAACTCCATAATACGGAAAAATCTGAACGTAAGATCAGCCGAAACTGTGATGGAGGAAAATCGTTTGGTCATGTCTCTCGAATGCCAGAGAATCGAATAGCCAGGATAGCGTTAGAAAGTAATGTGGAGGGAAGAAGACTTCAGGGAAGGCTAAGGAAAACCTGAGAGAACAGTGTCAAGGAGGCCTTTGACAGAAGGGATATTGACTGGAGGAGGAGCCAATGCCGTTTTGGCCTTCGGGGAGGATTGTAGGGATGGCTGCAGCTAGACAAAGATTGTGCTTGCTTTCTAGGGCTGAAGATGTATGGTTAATAAGTCGAAGTCCTTGTTGGACAGTGGAATGCTGGAAAGAAATCCGAATTGGTGGGTAGAAGGTTAAGAGATTCTATGACGGGTAGGATTCGCTTCAGTAGAGTCTTTTCAAAGATTTTTGAAAGGAATGGGAGTAGACTAATTTCTATATAGGATGTTGTGTTATTGGAAGTTATATTTATTAAAAATGTAATTGGTTTATTTTTTCTTCCTAATTCGTCTAATTTTATTCTTGAAGCATGAATCTAGTAATATTTTATTGTTTAAAATACGTTGATAATTTTCCTTCATTCTTACATCAGCCACTTTCGGTTTGGTACGTTTAACGTTGATATCTTCATTACTTTTTTCTGAACCTAGGAAAAAATTTCTTGATTAATTATATTTTCAATTAAAACCTATATAAGTATATAGCATGCAAATATTTACCGAAGAAAATATTTATGTTTAATTTAAGATCGAACCATGGATGATTTAATAATTTTTCACTAGAGATGCGTTTTAAAGGGGGACAGAGCAATGAACCTATAACTGATAGAGCTTCATCACTGATCAGTGAATCTGATGGTCGTTTTAACATGTACAAGCTGCGCTTATCCTGGAAGTATATTTTATCGTTAAAAATAACAGTTTTAAATATGTTTAACTTTAAATAGTCAATAAATTAAAACTGACCTCCTAGGAAAAAGATCCTTCCTAGTAAGCCAGTTTTAAGGTATTGATGGGATTTGTCAACTATCCGTTATGATACTTCTCTGCAAATGTTTTACAAAACGCCCTCTCATCAATCATATCAAATTTGTGGAATCTGTGTAAAATACATTCTTATTTTTTTATTGAGTATTAATACAGTCTGCCACACTCCACACTGAAGGGCATTAGTACTACGGCTACAGTATTCATTCAAATAATATTTACACATAAAAGAAAAAATATATAAATAACTAAAGTAAAAAAAAAAAATACATATAAGTAGGGTATAAATGGCGGTTCTACTCCCAGGATCTGAAGGACACTTTTGGACTTTGGACCCTGGGCTATTCTTACCTTAACCACCTGTACACCACGTGACCAATATAATTTATTTTGATTGATATTAATCCTTAATCTTAACCCTTAATCTCTAATGATAATCCCTAATCCTAATCCTTAATCCTAATTTGTATTTTTTCATTTTTAAGTTCGACAGGTCCGGACCTGTCTCAACTGGTCACATCTTGTCTACGTCTCAGTAAATATAAAGTGTAATGACATAAATATAGACATATATTGTGACATTCTACGATATCATGTCTCAACTGGTCACATCTTGTCTACGTCTCAGTAAATATAAAGTGTAACGACATAAATATAGACATATGTTGTGACATTCTACGATATCATGTCTCAACTGGTCCCATCTTGTCTACCTCAAGTAAATATAAAGTGTAACGACATAAATATAGATATATATTGTGACATTCTACGATATAATGTCTCAACTGGTCCCATCTTGTCTACCTCAAGTAAATATAAAGTGTAACGATATAAATATAGACATATGTTGTGACATTCTACGATATAATGTCTCAACTGGTCCCATCTTGTCTACCTCAAGTAAATATAAAGTGTAACGATATAAATATAGACATATGTTGTGACATTCTACGATATCATGTCTCAACTGGTCCCATCTTGTCTACGTCTCAGTAAATATAAAGTGTAACGACATAAATATATACATGTATGGTGACATCCTACAAGTTAAAACTGGTCCCATCTTGTCTACCTCAAGTAAATATAAATTGTAACGACGAAAATATTTATTATTGCAAACGAATATAAATTATAACAATGAAATATACACATATATTATTACAAAATGAATATATACATATATGGTAACGACAAAAATATATATATTATTACAAAGGAATATAAATATAAATTGTATTGACGAAAATATTTATTATTGCAAACGAATATAAATTATAACGATGAAATATATACATATATTATTACAAAATGAATATAAATATAAATTGAAACGACAAAAATATATATTATTACAAAAGGTATATATACATATATGACAACGATGAAATATATATATTATTACAAAATGAATATAAACATAAATTGTAACGAATAAAATATATATTATTGCAAACGAATATAAATTATAACAATGAAATGAACTGAATATATACATGAAATACATGAAATGAATATATACATATATTCTAATAATTTTACGATAATATATCATAAAATTCCTACTGTTAACAACAACGTCATCAACCCTCCCCTCTCCCCCTCTTCTTCTCATCAACTTTTATATATTGTTTTTTCATAAATATCAAAACGTATTTAATAATCTAAGAATATACACCTCTAATATCACGAATATTGTAGTAAATCGAAATTCGATTAATCGATCTTAAAACTAATATCATTTTCGAATACTACACCTATAATAATCTAATAGTACACTCTAATATCAAAAAAGATAAATCATAAAGTTAATATACGTAATATTATTTTCATAACATATGTTATATAGAAGGCCGTGGAGAGTATCTGGCACTTCGAATAATCTTAGACTCCAATATCAAAGAAAGTTTTATTAAATCGATCTTAAAACTAATATAATTTCCGAATTCTACATCTATAATAACCTAATAGTAGACTCTAATATAGAAAAAAAATAAATCATAAAGTTAATATACGTAACATTATTTTCATAACATATGTTATATAGAAGGCCGTAGAGAGTACAGCTGCGTTAAGCAACAAGTCTCTTTACGTTTGAACATGCATAGGCATGTAGGGGGACAAGGTCCACTGCGAAGGAAGCCGTAGGGTCGGAAGAGAGTGGTGGGGAAACCATCAGCCAATCAGATTCGAGGATACAGCCGGAGGTACCCGTGTGCCTACCCCCACTACTCTCATTCTAGCTCCAGACTTCACAGTGTTCATATCGTACGTAGTGTCCTCTGCGTTAGAACTCTCTCTCTTCTTCTACAGTTTTGTTTAGATTATTAGTTTAGTTTCTTATTATAGTTATCTACAGTGTTGTTTTCTTTATTTCAAAGTTATTTTTGTTTCTTCATACTTTTTTTTTCTATCCTAAGGTAAGTTTTTTTCTTTTTATTTAGTTCTCTATTAAAAATTTTCTATTCTGTTAACATTTTTCTTTTTGGGTTTTCTTTTTACATCTTCATATTCTCTTATTATAGTGTTCTTTTTTTTCTCTTACTATTATATATATTTATTAAAGTTTAAAGTTTTTTCGTTTTGTGTTTTTCTTAATATTTATAGTAATTATTCTTTCGTTTTGTTCTTATTATATATATATTTAAAATTATTTTCGTGTGTTTTTCTTCTTGTCGTTCACAAAGTAATTGTTCTTTCTTTTTGTTCTTATTATATATATATATATTAATCTATCCTAAGGTAAGTTTTTTTTCTTTTTATTTAGTTCTCTATTAAAAATTTTCTATTCTGTTAACATTTTTCTTTTTGGGTTTTCTTTTTACATCTTCATATTCTCTTATTATAGTGTTCTTTTTTTCTCTCTTACTATTATATATATTTATTAAAGTTTAAAGTTTTTTCGTTTTGTGTTTTTCTTAATATTTATAGTTATTATTCTTTCTTTTTGTTCTTATTATATATATATTTAAAGTTATTTTCGTGTGTTTTTCTTCTTGTCGTTCACAAAGTAATTGTTCTTTCTTTTTGTTCTTATTATATATATATATTAATCTATCCTAAGGTAAGTTTTTTTTCTTTTTATTTAGTTCTCTATTAAAAATTTTCTATTCTGTTAACATTTTTCTTTTTGGGTTTTCTTTTTACATCTTCATATTCTCTTATTATAGTGTTCTTTTTTTCTCTCTTACTATTATATATATTTATTAAAGTTTAAAGTTTTTTCGTTTTGTGTTTTTCTTAATATTTATAGTTATTATTCTTTCTTTTTGTTCTTATTATATATATATATATAAAGTTATTTTCGTGTGTTTTTCTTCTTGTCGTTCACAAAGTAATTGTTCTTTCTTTTTGTTCTTATTATATATATATATATATATATATATATATATATATATATATATATATTTAAAGTTATTTTCGTGTGTTCTTTATATGTATACTAGTTTTTTTTAGTTGTTCTTTTCGTTTTTTTCTTATTATAGTTATATTTTTTTTTGTTTTAATTCATTTATCGGTCGGATATAATTTTTTTTTCTTTATTATTATATATAGTTATTCTTTATTAAATATATATTTTACAAAATATGGAATCCTCATCAAGGAAATGTGCCAACTGTGATAAAACATTTGCTAGCCATAGAGAGTGCATGGCTCATGAATTATCATGTATTTATAGTCAGGAATTTCCACAACTAGCCTCGTGCATTTGCGCCAAATGTGGCAAATCTTTTTCTAGATCAGATAACAGAATACGACACGAGGCTATTTGTGGGGATTCCTCTCAAACCCAAGAATTTTTGAACAATATTAAATTGATATGTTCTTTTTGCGGAAAATCTTTTAATAGAGAACATCATCGTTTAAGACATGAAAAATCGTGTAAACACCTGTCCCGATTTGATAATTTTGATAACCATTGTGAAGTTATTTGTGGAAAATGTGGACAGGTGTTTACACGAAAAGATACTAGATTAAAGCATGAGATTGCATGTAAAGTAGTTTTTAAGAGGTCCTGCCGTTTCTGCGGAACAAATTTTACAAACATTTATAATTATTTTAGACATGAGGAATTTTGCAATAATGAACCCCCGAGGAAAAAACCTAGACAAGAACCACAACGGCAGGACCTCTTTGGTCTCAAACCCGACGCTGCAGGTTTTTCAGAGTATGAGACGGCTTTTAAAGGGAGGTTGAGGTCTTATTTTATTAGATGCGACGACAATTACGACCTAACTAAATTTTTTAATAGCATCAGAAACGATGTTTTTATTAGAATAAATGCTTCCCTCCGAGAACACAATTCAATTAAAATAAATATGTGGGCTGATTGCGTAATGATAAATCAGTTAGGGGAAACCATCGAGACATCTTTTAAAACACGCAATAAAGCAATTTATAAAGATACGGAAATCGAAAAAATAATAGATAGCGGGTTTAATAAAATCATACATGAAATGGAAAATATGGAAACAAAGAAGTCGGGGTGGAAACTATACGTGATAGAAGGGTTAAGATTAAAAATCAACCAATTCAAACCACTTCGAGGTAGCACTTTTATAGACTTACCAGATAAAATTAAAAATAGAAAAGCTTGTATAAATGTGGAGAACCAAGATAATTATTGTTTTAAATATGCTATTTTATGTAAATTTGTAACTGAACATCCTGAACGTGTTTTAAATTATGAACGTATACAGCATAGGTACGACTTCTCATGTGTTGATTTCCCCACCCCTGTTCATCAAATAAAACTGTTTGAAGCATCAAACAATATTTCAATTAATGTTTTTTCTCTTGATGAAAAAAATGCTGTTTACCCCCTCAAAGTAGTAAAAAAAGAATTAGAAGATCACAGAGATCTATTATTATTAGAGGGAGAGGGTA